CAATCAAAAGACAACATGCGATTATTTTTAGGCACCCAATTACCAGTACTTAGAGAACGTAAGCACAAATAAGGATCTGATGCAATATTGACAAATTCTAAGATGCTGCCATAAAATGTGCGATTCGTTAGCTAGATACCAATAAGAGAAGGATCATGGCAAAATAACCACAAACTTTGGGCAAGATCTTTGATGAATAGGGCCCGGGCATTAGAAAAAGCTGAGATAGAAGAAGGGGCTGCAAGTTGGACTTCAAGGGACTGGGCAAAAGTCAGTCCATATAATGCTTCCTGACGCATAATGGAAAGGTGTAGTATAACTACGTTGCTATAAGAAGTAGGAAAGGAGAGAAAATAATACGTCACCACATGTGCTTCACCTCAAGCAGTTCAAAAAGAAAAGATGAAATTTCGTCTTAGCTTGTTTCAGATTACCAAGAGAACGAAATAGGTGAAAACTACATAAGGCGACGCTGGGGTTTGGAGAGTTCTCATGAAATCCGCTAAAAAGGCATATCATGCTACATTAATATAAGAAATTGTGGTATTGAAGGGGTGAATCGAGGATATAGGATTGGTGAATAGCCTAAGACAGAAGGAAGATAACACGATTGTTTTATCGGCTTCCCTTGCCTTTGACGAGTTGTGGTTTGGCGGTAAGAATGACAAGGCTCACTGACGATGCCGGCGAAACATCTGGAAATGTACCACGTCCATGGTCCGTCTCAGGAAATTATCGTGCATACTATGGACTCTTGACAAGACGCGTTCCTTTAGGTCTCCCCGCTAAGGTGACCAAGTTGCGAAAACAAGGTCAAACAACTTCTATACAACGAAGGAAGACTGCGACCATACAAAAGGCTTCACCATCTTGACCTTAGTACCTTCGATTATGTCTGTATTTTTGTGAGGGATATGTATCCAATAAAAATGGATGCGAATACTTTCAAATCTATAGTTATCCATCCCATCCACTTCGGCGTAATGTTAAGTTAGAGCTTAATATTTCCAAATATAAAAAATAATACAATGAAACTCATTGCTTATCTAGCGGGGATAAAACTCCAATAACAAATTATACTTGCCCCAATAAAATAAAGAAGTCAAATGAATTTAAGGTTGTAGAAACCTAGTTTCTCATCCTAGATGATAAAAAATTTATTAAAAATGAACTCATTTAATGAGATGATAAAATAACAAAATGAAGAAAATTCGCGAACTAACATCAGGGCCAAGAAAATTCAATAGAAATTGTCAAATAAATGTGGGGAAGTGGAATTCGTCAGCAACATTCTTGTGCGCTATCTTTATTTCTGCTGTTTCATACTCAAGTTTCCTAATTGTCGAGTACATTTATTATAATGTTAATGTTAGCAAACCCATAGAATAAAAGCATAAGTTTGGTCACGGTGTACCACAAATCTTACCAGAAAGCTTTGAGCCAACCTAGTGCAGCGTGTCTGACCAAAGTGCTTTTTCTCAGAAGAGTTGACAGCTGGCTTTCGCTTCTGCTTCGGATAAATAAGGTGGCTGAGGAGGCGCTGAAGAGCCATTGATGCAGGGGAGGCCAAGCAAGTAATCGGGACATGAGCGATAGCAGTGCCAGTAGACACTTCAGTATTCCCTGACGAATTTTTCTCGAGAATCGATGCCTCAGAGTGCATAGTGCAGTCACGATCGTCCGTATTATTGCCCGACTCAGGCAGTGAGATAGTCCGTTTTTCGTTTTCCTTTCCTGCCTTTTCCTTCCTTGCATTTGCAATTCCTTCCTCATCGTAGTCCTCATTAGCATTAGCATAATAAATATCACTAACATCCTCTTTATTGCAATCTGAGAGTTCTTCATCGCCAACTCGGGATCCCATCAGACCCCCAGGCCCCATAGAAAGTGAAGAATTTAAATCTATAGGAAAGAGGCCCTGAAGTGGAGGAGGAATTCGAGGTCGACCGGAAGCAGGTAAGAGAAGAGTGTATAGACAGGGCAGCACATAAGCTAACTGAGCGAGGCGACTTGATCCAGGGAATAATTGCTGATATGGCCAGTGACGGGAAGGTGGAGAGGAAGAAATCAAGGGTGAGTCTGAGATGGGAGTTATGTCAGGTGAAACAGATTCGATGGAAAGCAGCCAGGAAAGATATGACAACGAAGAAGCTAGAATAAAAATGTCAAAGGGAATTAAATTAATGAGACGAGTGCCATGTGTCCGCAAAATATGTGATAAATGAGGTAAAATAAGCAAATAATGGCATGAGATTAAAAAACGATAAGCAAACTATAGTATTGGTTAAGGATAGCAACTATGACAGGAGAGAAGCGATGCATATTTTTGTGGTGAAAATGTCGATGAAACTGTTACAGTCGACTGCATTACTAATAATTAGATTAAATATGCTTCAAAACTACAACTAGATCTAGAATAAGATGTGTATATACACAATGAAGAATGAAGTTATCGAGAAATGATAGTTGAATAATATATGTAGGCCCCACGACGCCATTGAATCCCATTTAGGTATTCTCATCCATTAATCATATCATTATGGGAAAATTCAATCATCATTTCCTCATTCCCTTATGCGGCCTAAAGTGAAAATAGCTCATATTCTAGAGCTAATAACAGTATCGAAACTTACTCAATCTAAATAAAAGTGGTAGTGTTTATGTGGGGAAGACTTGTCGATTTGTACATGAGGCTATCAGAGCACACGACCGCCTGCAAGGGTTTATAGATTCACAAATAGGAAGTGGCTCAACATGTTGAAAATACAGGATACCAGAAAAAGTAGACTAAATTCCGGCTTTTTGTCTGATATGGGGACTTTACAGCTAAGCGGAAGATCAGGGATTCGATTGAAATTAACAAAATAAAGAACATCCTGAATAAGAGGAACGACTGTAGGAGGCTAAATAAGAATTATCTAATCTGATGGGATCGACCAACGAATCTCTTATTCATGCACTTTCATACGAAATGAAGGTCCCCCTAACGATGCTAAAAATAATTAAAAAGAGTGTGTGAAGTAAAGAGAAGAAGAAGAGCCACTGAATAGGAAAAGAAAAATTGACTAAGTCGGAGTCTGGTTTTTGACCTAAAATTGACAATCAACTCGTGAGTGTTGCATGCACACACGAACACGCATCCAACAAGTCCCAGGATTACATGATCACACGCTAGTTTATTTTTATAGACAAAAGTTGTTACCACATCCGTTCCCTTCCTGCATCACTTCCATTCGCTTAGAAGCAGGTAGGACAAGCATCAAACAACCAACCAAATCATGGAATACCTCAGTCGGGTGGCAAAGTGATGTATAAAAAGTAAGTAGGATCTCAGCTAGCCACCTTTCTTAGTTTAGGTTATTTGGTGATTGTTCACGAATAATGGTTTCTGGCTCTGACGATGTTCGTCACATGACGGACGAAATCTCTGCACAGAGTCATCGGCGTCGTAGGACGATGAGCCGACATCATCCTCGAACAATTAAACAGGCAAAAGTCCAAGGCAGCCATCCTTCGGTATCCGATAAGGCCAATAAACGAATCCCTTCCACTCGCCATCTCAAACGAAATGAAAGGTATGCCCGTATCACGGAAAAAATAGATAATTCTAGAGGGTTTTTAAGACATCCTAGGACAATTATAAATCCTGAAATATTATAAAAAAACATTCGTTCCACTATCAGAATACACAAAGTAGAAACTCAGCTCAGAATAAATAGGTTTTTGAGGGTCAAAGTTAATTGAAATTCAATGACACTAACTTATATCATCATTGGAAATTAAATTACCAATCCTTAAATATCCAGCGAACTATGTTGATTCAGGTTCTTATACGAGGTCTAATTATCATGTAAAACTTACTCATTTGGTACCTGGTCGTGGGGTGTTTTCACGAGATGGTTAAGGCATTTGGAATCAAAATAAGAGCTCGTAGTTGAAAATGATATTTTTGAATGTATATGAGGTATGTTTTACTAGAATTTCCACCCTCAAAATTCATTATTACTGCAAGACCGGCTTTCATCTAGACTACATATGAGTATGTTATTTTAACTTACAATTATTACTCACAATGTGGTCAAGCATCAAATTTATTCGCTCAATTTTAAGAGCCAGATAGATGTCATTGTTAAAAGAGATGGTGAAGAGAAAAAAACTCATCTCACCAGAAGACAACGGCTGATTCCCGTTGTACTGCAGCCGTTTGGCTTTAATACGACCTTCAGATTGACACATTCCAACAGACAACCTACATGATTTAGTCTATCATATGATAGACATCGTCAGAGCTGGAAATCATTCATGTAAGTCTCAAGTTAATACTAGCTGAAGAAGGCTGTCTAGTTCTATCTGACCTCTTATACATAGTCATAGATAAAAATCGAAAAATGTATAGGCATATAATTATTCGAATAATTAACTTTTAGATAGGTTATGGTATTTCTACATGAGTGTGTGTCTGTGTCTGTGTAACTTAGGAAGATATCTTTATAAGAAGCTAACATATAGATACGAAGAGAAACATGGTTTTGATATATCTCCTGAGATAACATCGTTAGAGGGACCTTCATTTCTTATGAAAGTGCATGAAGGAGAGATTCGTTGGTCGATCTCACGAGATGAGTACGAATGAATCTGGTTAAACTGCAACCGTTTGAAATTTTATATGATATTTATGTTGATGAAGTCCACGGGACTTACTCCCTTGTTTCGGGTAAAAACGTGCTGAGCTTTCATCCATCATTTTGCAGACATCATCAGAGTTGGGTGTCATTCTTGTAAAAGTCTTTAGTTAACACTAGACCAAGAACACTATCCGGCTTTATCTTATCTCTTATATAGACTCAGTTAAGCCAAAAGAAAATTAAAAATT